GAATAACGCTCACCCGCCTGTACCGCTACCTCCGATAATTTCAAAATAGTCACATGGAGCAGGAGTTGTGTCGGAGCCAAGGGCAGCCTGTATTTGATACATCATTCGCTCAAGGATGAGTAACTCAGACAGTGCTCCTGCTCCGCCGCCATCTGACCACTTGGGTCAATACAACTTCAAGCACAGAGGAATGAGGGCATTACCCAGGGACAAGACCCTCACCCCTTTATCAGGGGCACCTGTGTTTGACATCACTGTGAATGTCTTTGTGGCCCTGAAGAGAAACCAGTCGGTGGAGGGGAGAGGAGATGAGGGGAAAGAGGAAGGAACGTGGGGGGAACGTGTGTGAGAGGGCGGTGCTGATTGTTATCACTTCCCATGGCCTAAATTTGAACCCCTTCTATTTCTGCCACGGATCCGATTCCAATGGACCCGGCAGGACCCAAGAGTGGAAAACCTCAAGCTAGGTCTGGAGAGCACTCCAGCACAAAAGATTGTACACACAAATCTGTTCACAATACAGCACGAGAGTCCGAGTAATCAAGGATATAAGCAAGGATACTGTCGTAGTCGAAGGCCGCCAAACTATTTCTTGACATACATCCGGCATCTACCAGGTAACGGCCGCATGGTAGATGTCTTCTGACAATCAATCCATCATGTCTCAACAGGTGCCGGGGATGTTGAACGCCCGGAAGCCCCGGGAACGCTCACTGCCGAGGAATTCCATGCCACGAACCTTGATGAGCCTGGATGAAGCCGCGGAGTTCTCCAGCTTGTTTTAGACTACACTCCCTTCCACTAGTGCGATTTGGAGTCGTGTCCACAAAGGTGCATAGGTGCACCTCTCCCTGGTCGACACCGATGCTGGTGCCAACAGAGTGTCAATCATCCTACGTCTTCGGGTAGAGTCGAACCACCGGCTCTCCGCTTAGCAACTGGGATGGATATTTCTATGACGGGAACGAGCTGCTTGCTCCAACGAGGCCTTTCTCACCTAACTGAGTGCCCTGTCAGATGACTGACTCCGCCTTTCGCTCAAAGTCCTACCGGATAAAAGCAAGAGGGACATACCGTGTACATCATCGTGTGCAGTCGATCCACATTGCAAATGCCTTTTCACTTCGAGATGGGTTGTGTGGGGGCCGGGAGCCAGCTGCGGTGCTCCCCGCCGACTTGCGCGCGAAAAAGGCTCGGTATTGAAAGAAGAAATAAGGGTGCTCGTCCACACAAAATATTTCAATTCCTTTGCCCCGTGCGGATTCATCGGGTGGTACTCCACTGAGCCCTGTGAGCTCATGTTCTTTTATTATATTCTCCTGCCCAAGTATATATATATGCTCCAGCCGCAGCCCCAAGTTCAAGCATCCATGTATCTGTTCCACTGCCGATTCGTACTCGCTCCCTTACGCTCCACCGAAGGATCTCAAAAGCACTTACACGGCTCCCAGGAGTCGAACCACCCTCACTCCCATATACCATGCGGAACCGGTTTTATTGGGTGCGTACTTCTATGGGAGCAACTCCGCATTTCCCCCGAGCGCAATACACATTGCAAGCACTCAGGCGATTCGAAAGCGGGGGAGCGAGCTGCGACCTCGTGTCGTGCTTGCAGGCTTGTCCAATAAGTCGAACAAAAATGTGCACGGATCAGCAGGCAAGAAACGTCTTCGGGTGGCAAAAAAACGCCCTAGAGATATCGCGATTGTATGTCCTCAAGTGGATTTGAACTACCGAGTCCACCACAATTTTGCACCGGAAAAGCATGGATGGGAGCGCGTACCATATTCCCCGAAGAGTCTCTGCGTAAAGCTGGTATCCTGGATAGTTACTTCATGATCACCTCTCCACGCTGTGTAAATCAGACTCATCTCTCTTCGTGCTCTTCCGAATGCCTGATCCCTCGCGCTCCCGATCAGTGAGTGTCCAATAAGTGTCGATCTGCGCCATCTGTTGGTTCCCGGCGCAGATTTGAACCAAGTGCACCATCATCACAACTCAATCTCATTAATACATCTGGCCGCTCAAAACACCCGGATAAAGAGCACGCACGTCTTCGGCTGGATTCGAACCACCACCTCTCACTCCCAATTAATAGAGATTGTCCAGAATGTACAAATCGAGCGCCGCTACCCAATGAAAAATTGACTGCGGAGCCAATGATTCACCTGTAGGGCTGGGCCGCCGCCTACGTGGGCACTCATCGGGAATTCTACACGCCGGTGAAAATAGAGCGCATGTAAAAAATGTGAATTACAGTATAACGGGTGCCACAAGGATATATCGATATCGACGAGGGCTCGACTTTATCCGCCCGCGGCATCGATACGAACTCAAGATGCTGAGCTCAGGCGCAGGGATAACGACAACAACGAGGACTCCGAAAGAACGCAATGCAGAGGCGCTCGCAGTGCATCGGCGACGATAGAAATAATCTAGGGCGCGCTGGCGAAGATGCCGTGAGGATTGGGCTCGTGCGCTAAGGAGGCGCGGCGACAGACGAAGAGGGCGCAAGGTGTCGCGTGCGAGGACGCGCACCATCGAGATTGACGAGTGAACGAATGAACGCAGCGGAGGAGAGACGAACGCAGGGGAAAAGAGCCACATTAGTAGAACGCAAGTAGGCCGGACACAGCGAGAGCGGCGAGTGTGGCCAGAAACCAAGTGCAGCCGGCAAACTTGAGAAAAATACAGAGGACGAGAGTAGGGCGGGAGGAAGGCGCACAAATGCAGTGCGGCGCTACTATTACTATAGGAGCACGGCCCCGAATAGTAGTAAGCCCGCCAGAGCCACAGTTCTTGCGACGCTGCCGAGCGAGTGCGCGGCATGTGTGCGCAGCGTTGCTCAGCGTCGTCGACGGCGCGGAGAAGCTCGCGGGGACCGTCCCGGTGCTTGATGCGGACCCACGCCTGAGTTCGAGGCCGATGCGGAGACAGCGGAAGAGGTGGCGGGCGCGGAGGGCGACGGCAGGAGCCACGGGAAAGAGATGCGCGTCGGGTTCGTCGCAGCACTGCAGAACTCTCGGCGGAGGGGAGCTCGTCCGGGCACGGGGTGAGGCACGACAAGACTGAGGAGGGAGGAGACGCACGGCGGTGTGGCACAGTAGTTCAGCGCGACCTCGGAGGAGCAGTACTAGTTCGCGGCCACGGCGGCGAGGCCCAGGCAGTTCGCCACTACCCACCCAAATTAACCATTCTTAGCAGATGCAGCGCAGGGGAGGAGCAGGATAGCGCACCGCAGGACACCACGCCGTGCAGGGAGGGCAGCGCCGCCGAGTTTGTCGGCGTGCCGATTGTGCTTGCGCTACTAGCGGCGGCACTCGCACTAGCGCTTGCGCTGGCGGGGCTTGAGCTGGAAGCGGCGGAGGCACCGAGCGCGAAGGCGAGAGTGAGGAGGAGGAGTGCGGGCGGGAGGTGCATCGTAGGGGCGTCTGTACCTGCCGGCGTGCGGCGAGGAGAGAGAGTTGGTGGAGGAGGGCGGTAAACACGCGATGACACGCGGAGGGCGCAGCCACACATGCGCAAATGGGCGCTTGCTGCAGACGCGCATGTCGACCCGCGGCTTGGGTGTGCTTCGGCGATTCCACGCCACTGGGGGAGCGTATACGATTGCGACGTCCATTCTGTGGTTCTGTCTTCCCGCACTTTTGTGTCTTTTCTTCTCGGCGGCCTCGGAAATCCGCACCGACTCGGACTAGGGCTCCAACCATTTCCATTTATAAACGTTTTAAACGGTAAATACCATTTCTATTTCCGTTTATTTTATGGATGTGGGTAAATGGTAAATGGATAATAAACAAACGGTTTAAATGGTTGTGAAAATGAACCACCTGGCGACCGATTTTTTCGAGCGTCTGCTATAATTATGGTGCACACCATGGGTGAATGATTGAACTAACCCCAAGATGTTACCTCTCACGGTGGATCCTCGATTGACGAGATATTTCCAGACCTGACCGCCCCCGGGCATCCCGGCGAAACTAAACTCTTGCGTTCAGGCCCTAAACAACTTTCAGCATTGAAGTCGGAGACAGATATGAGACTCTGGAAACTGTCAAGTAGCCTAAAGCACCGCCATCCAGAGAGGTGTAAGAATGTTACCCAGGCCATACCATTTATAAACAGTTTAAACGGTTTTTAAACACATTTTCACCGTTTCCGTTTAGTTTGCGGACTTTCGCAAACGGAAACGAAATGGTTGGAGCCTTAACTCGGACTCTGTGACTTGGCTCTCTTTCTGGGCGTCGAATCGCTTATGATCATACTCGGGGCTAGGCTCCCTCCACCGCGTAACGGCCCTCTCACGTCCTCACTGTCGCAATTCTCCTCGCTCTGTCGCTCTGGAGATGTCGGATCTGCGTTCGAAGTTTCGACAAACAAAGTTGCATCTACACCGCAGCCGGCGCAGCTCCAACGCCCCGCGTTCCTCGACGTGCGCTGTGCCGTGCATGAGCGCTGCAGTGCTACCTCGATCTCGACCCTGTTTCAGTCCGTCATCCTCCGCCTCCGCGTGTGCGCCTGCGTCTGCCTCCGTTTTGCCCTACTTTCATTCCCGCATCTTCCTCGGGCTCTCCCCGGCGCGGCGTGCCCGTGACAGGCGCACACTTGCACTCGGGCCTCCGCTGAAGATAATGTTGGTGGCTCGGCGTTGCTGCGGTACCTGAGCATCCGCAATCTCGCACGGCGCTCTCATCATTTTCTCCCTCGCATACTGCCTGCTCCGCCCCACCTTCATCTGAAGTTGCACGAATCGCATAAACGGAGTTTCTCTCGCTGTCTATGGCGCTTAGGCTATATCCACCGCAGCGCCGCCTGTACTCCTTCCGCTTCTGCTGCTAATTAATATTATCTGTGCATCTTTGCGTCGACGGCTCTGATACTAAGCTCACGCGCGCCATTCTTCCGCTCCCTTGCTCGCTCCTCACGCGCTCGAATTTCTCCGCTCGCTCCGCGCATGCACACCTCGGCAGAACAAGAAAAATTAGGACACAATAATTGTATGCCTCCGGGCGGGGTCGAACCGCCGGCTCTCCCTTGATTGCTATTACGATTGCCCTTGGAATGGGCGGGAGCGAGCTGCCTTGCTCCACGGAGGCGTGAAGGTACACCCAAGCGGATGGATACGTGCGTTGATTCTGTGCGTGAAATACGAGGCGTGCAGGTACGCGTGCAGATACACCTAAGCGGGTGGATAGGTGCGTCAATTAATTCTGTGCGTTGACTGAAGCAAATGTATGGCACATATAATGTGCAATAATTAAATTAGCGCACACCTCAGCTGCAATCGGCTTAAAACACTCATGTTTGGATAACTGGTAGCAAAATGACACAGGTTAACACATCTTCCTCTGTGAAAACACACACCCTCATTTTCTGGCTGGCAAAACACGCAGGCTGAAGTCAGGGTGAACAGTAGGATATCCCGATACCCACTAGCCTTTCAAAAATGAAATAAAATAAAGCATCTGATGATGTTCAATTATCCGTGCCATTGTCGAACCAATCATGTGACTTTATGCGACCTGTACCATTCGTAAGTGGAAGAGGTACAGTAGCTCTGGGGAGGATATTTTATGTAGCAAAATTCTTGAGGTGCAGGGAAGGCCTCCCCACTGCAATCCCTTATTCAATCCAACAGCTGGATACAGAGATGACAAGAAAAGGAGATCAGATAGCAAGCGGAAAATGATGGACAAAGTCTGCCTCCGCTTTTACCAACATGCTAGCTTATTCACTGTAAATTAGCAGTCAAGTCAGGTGGTGCAATGGGAGAGGGCTGAAAGAATCCAGAATCAAGTTGTGTCACCTTTTCATATCAACACATGGTGTGTGATTTTGGGAAGCTCTACAGCAGAGACAAGCTGTGTCAAATTCTCTGGTGTCAACCTGACATGTATGTCTTTTTCATGTTTTACACCCGAATTATTGCACACTATATAGCCCATACAAATGACTGACTGATTGACTGACATAAAATCTCCGGGGTTTCAACTCTGGCTCCATCCATGGCTGGATCTACCAGCTTGACTACTTCCCCGGATTCCGCGTGCATCGTGCGCTGTGAGACCAAACTTCGTCGATTCACGCAAGTTAGACAAGAAAAAAATGAGTGCACAGATGTGATGTAATGCCTCCGGGCGGGGTCGAACCGCCGGCTCTCCCATCGCCATGGTTCTACCTTCCAGACGGTGGGAGCGAGCTGCCTTGCTCCACGGAGGCGTGCAGGAACACCCAGACAGGTGGATAGGTGCATCAATTCCGTCCGTTGACCGAGAAATCTAGCTGACTGACTCACATAAAATCTCCGGGGCTTCTCTGGCTCCATGTCTGTATCCGCCAGCTTGAGTACTTCCCCGTATTAACTGCTCTACGCCGTGCGCTGCGAACTGAAACTGGCGCCCATTCACGTAAGTTTGATGAAAAAATGAGTTCACAGAGAACGCTTGGCCGAGTCGACCCGCCGGCTCTCCCTCCGCACAAGTAGATGGCAGAACTATTACAGGGCAGCGAGCTTCCTTGCTTCACGAAGACATATTTCTGTGCATATCAGGCTGAATAGGTTTGCATCTCAGATTTCATTCGCCTGAACCGTGTTGATTCAATTGTGAAAAGCATGCAATGGGCATTGTCTTCCGGTGATTCGAACCACCCTCTCTCCCGAAACATCAATACCCTCCCCCCTCCAGCAAGCGGGAGAGAGCTTCATTACTCCTAGATTGAACCGGGCGCTCTGGACCCTTTCGGGTTCCCTTCTCATACCAAGTTCATGTACGGTCCTGCACAATGTCTATTAATCCTTTGGACCATATTGACACTTACCTTGGGCGGGCGAAGAAAAAGGACAACTCGCGACCCATGTCCTCGGGCGGAGTCGAACCACCATCTTTCCCGCAATGGTCAGCATGCTACCGCATTGCGTGGGAGCGAGTTCCGTACTCCACGAAGACCTGCGAGTAACCCCAGTGTGCCGTACATGCACACCTCTGAACAAAATTGAGATTGCACTCAGAGTGCAGCGCTCGCAGATGTTGACCTTGCGCAGAACCGGCGCCTTCCAGTAGAACGAACAATGATAATGGAAACTCGCATTGTTGCGGTGCATTTCACGCTGACTAAGGGCGTAGCGCAGCTTCCATGCGTTACATGCTGGCTCACAAACACTCGTGGAACGATTTTGCATATGCGAGGTCCATACCCCCAAGGGGGTCCAGTTTTGTCACAAAATATACCACGCTGATTTACGATGCAGAGGAACCCAAAAGCACCGAAAAACAACGTTTGAGAATATTTCACCCAGTGGTTGTATGGGAAATGTAATATATATAGATTACTGTATATGGCCATAGCATTACCATATGTGGGCATAAAATCACGAGGTAGGTTCGACGAGTTTGCGATTTTTTTTCGAAAGTGACGCAGAATCATGAGATCTGTTCAGAAAAAAATCGAGAAAAATGTTTATTATTTTTCGGACAAAAGTGGCCATATCATCCGAACCACTGACCCTGGCAACTTTTGCTCTTCAGATTCGGATTCCCAGACCCAATTTACATCAGAAATTGGCCTAGGGTGTTTTGATGACAGAACCATACCCCCTTGCATACCCCCGCAGAAGCCACAAAATCCTGCAAGGCTACAAAAAAAAAGCGGTCGGAGAATATCGGGTGGAGTCGAACACGACCGTTTCTTCTATTCAACCCGAAGACCTGCGAGGAGCGCCGATGTGCTCTAAATGTGCACCTCTGAATCAAATTTTGTTCGCATTTACAATGCATGTTACACTTACGCAGAACCGGCGCCGTCTCGTGGAACATAGAATTAATGGAAAGTCGATCGCATGCGGATCGACAAAAATCTCACAGAATCCCAACCCCAAATGCCCTCGGGTGGAGTCGAACCACCGTGTCTCCCCAAAACCCGCTAGTCGATTCATTACTGGGCGGAAGTGAGTTCCGTACTCCACGACGACTTGCGTGTAAAAGTTGGTCGTCCATTATCCATACCTCACCAAAATGACTGAATTCCGATTTATTGTCCCACGGGCCTCTCACACTCCCTGGTCGAGGTGAGCGGAATGCAAATTGCGTTAGAGCGTAACCCTCCATTGAGGCTATGCTAGCTAGCTGTCGTTCTCCTCTTCCTTGCCGGCTCCCGCATAGGCATCTCCCGCACGGTTTCCAAAAAATGTGGATGACTGCCCGAATGTCCTCGGGTCGACTCAAACCACCGTCTCTCCCACTCAACCTCTATTTATTCCATCCGATTGATTAGAGCACCGTACTCCAGAGGACTTGCGCATAAACGTGGGCTATAGATAGATGGCTCGCATAAGTACCGCTCATCTTTCGCGTGATGTATTCTTCCTCGCCCCTAGTACGCAGAAGAAGCAATCTGCAACGTCCTCGAACATCCTCCGGTGCATTCGAACCACACGGGAGCGAAAGCTCATTATTAGGAATACAAAGTACATGCCAGGCAAAGTTCCGCCGATGACTCAACTGCAGCCCCTGCGCGGGACGGTTCAGCCGTGAACCTATTGATTTTGCGATAGCTTTCCTGCGAAGGATATCAGAGGAATGAGCCGCAGGACATACTACGTTCTAAGATTGAGAGAATGTCGGACCGCGAACACGGTGAAAAACACCCTGCGGCCAATCGCAACTGCCGTTCGGGCTCTAACCGTCCTTTCTAGTCTGCGACCTAACCGATAACGCTGTGATTTTCGCGGGGTCAGAACGACCGCCTGGCTATGCACCCTCTGCTCATCTGCCCTGCTGAACGAATGGATGTGGGCGGGCGGGGTAAAGGAGACGATATTATCGGCTCGGTGGGTGGCTGCAGCCCACCAATATTATCCGCAGCAGCCCCGTTCGACTCGGGGTCGAGCCATAGATAGAGATTTGTGGTTTTTCCCCTGAACCTACACGGTGAAGGGGCAAGGACACATTCAAATCCTACACGCATGGTTTGATTTGCGCAAGAGGAAGAGTCGCACCGGCGACCGAGCTCAACCTGCATCCTGAACCCACGTTGACTCCGACCCCCTTAGACTCGCTAGATCTAGTGGCGCCTTGCATTTGGCGATAAGGACTTCGGGATTCGCTCTCGATAGTCCTTATTACATGAATTGCAGAACTGGCTGGCTTTAACAACACTTAAAAGTCCGATGTATGGAACCGATGTATGCGACGGAATAATGCCAACAGGGAGAGGGGTACCCTTTCAAGCTGATATGGGCCCGATGGCAGATGGACCGCGCCTATATCTGATGATGATTGGGTCTGTCTGAGTCCCCAATATGCAGAAGGACCCCTTCGATTCGGGGGTGGGCCGTGCGAACCGCGTTGTTTTTTTCTCTCTTCATCCTGCGGACTGCTAGCAATACGCCGAGTCGGTGGGGTGCCTCTTTCCATTTACTTGATGCAGAGTCGATACGAAGGCTTCAAAGGCTGGAGTGGTCGGTTTCGCGAGTTCCGGCATCACTGACTTCCTTGCACGGCAGATCAGGCGTGCCAGTAGAAAATAGATCAAAGACTGCTGAGGACCTTCAGTCACACTGGGACTGATTGAGTTTCGAGTGCGTTGAAGTTGGTTCTGTTTTGAAGTTGAAACGCAAGTTGATTTTTTAAGTATCGGCTTCTTGTTTCGGCACAGTTGAAATCCCATCGATAAGGATCGATGGGCCCTTGGAGTTTTATACCCGCCGCTTACAAGTTTCTCAGTGGCCATCAGTGGTTATTGTTGGCCCTCACGGACCAATGATTTATAAGGGAGTCGCGTGGGCAGCGAGATAAGATAATGCTGATCCGGGATCAACATTGCCCGATTGGGGCTCGTAAGACGTGCCAATGGCCCCTAATGGTTTTCAATAGTTTCTACTGGCATCCACCGCACTTTGAAATTTAGATTACATTTGTTTTCTGTCTCATGTGGTCCTTGCCAGTTGCGTGACTCATCGTTTTCCACCAAACACCACTGTTTACTATGTCGGAAAGCCACCACCCCCCCGACCCTGTGGAACGACCGCTTACAGGGCCAGTCAACAAGGCTCGAAAGAAGTCAGACCTCGTCGAAATTGCCGGTGCTTTGGGCCTGGATACCACTGGGATTGTCGATGTGTTGCTGGCCCGCATCACCACTCATTTGGCAGCCAACACAGAGACTTTGTCCGCGCTGCCTCGTTTTGCTGGACTATATAGTTTTAAAACTGCTAGAAAAGCCTCCAAGAAGCCTGTGAAGACAAGCGCAGACAAAGCGGCCGAGGATGACTCAGAGAAAGCCAAATCCTCCACCCTCACAGCGTATGAAGTTCTCTTAAGTCAATGGATTCATACTCATTTTTAATTGCAGCTCGGATCGAAAGCTGAAAGATCTCAATATCACCACCGATCCGCCGGCAAGCTTCACGCCTTTGTCTCTCAACAAAAACTCTTCGGGAAGCGCAGATATAGATGCCAATGGTCTGCTTCCCAACTTTAAATTTTGATTCGGATTTTAACCTGCATTCATTAGATCAAGAAGGCGATCATTTATCTGACTCGGGTCTTAGTAGCCCTATGGGCTATCCGCCGAGTTCCGACGAGGATACAGCGGCTGACCCAAAGGCTAAGGGGAAAGCTAAGATTAGGAAAGTTCCGAACCCATGGAACAGGCGGGCGGAGCGCAAGGATGAGAAATCCGATAAAAATGGTGATGTGTCGCTGGAAACAATGCCAGGTGAGTTGAGTCAGCTCCATATGTTGAGCGTGCTAATTAGCATTGCACCTCAGTTGTCATGAAATTGCTCAACTTGCACGGGCCATCTCAAGAGGTCTATGTTCCCGCTGTTTCTATCATCAAGTCAACTTCCCAAGATGGCTCCATCGTTCACCAAACACGCCTCTCGGAACTTCTCCCCGCTGTTAAGGTACCCCCCATCCACCTTCGACGAACATCACGTGGTCTTTGTGACAACTTCCTCTCTCGGACGAGCCCAGTAGATAATTCTATAAAATAATTACTAGACCACATTGAGCCAAATCCTTCGACCAGATTCTAGATATGGACCTGATAATCCTTCCCAATCAATGATACGTGGTCTAAATCCCTGATTTGGGCCCGGAATTAGCAAATCTGTCAAAGAATTGGGCCAAATCAGATGCCACGCTGGCAGTCATCGCTAGCACACCGTAAGCGCGATCGATGGGAACGCACTCGAAGGCCCGCAAGACCCGGGCAGC